AACTGAAACGAAAGAGCTACACCGTCTTCGCTTGAAACTCCGAGGGGAATAAATCGTCTCGTGCCAAAGGATGAATCTCTGAAATACTCAATGCACATGATTAGTCCGCAAAAGCGTTGTCATCAATCACCAAAACTACATAGAGAGAGACATGCCTTAACAAATGGTAACATTACTTGAGGAACAAGTAATGATAACTCCTCGGTCCGAAGCAAATCTTGCGGCAAAGAAGACCATAGTCTCTTGCTGTCAAGTATTTACTCAGAGCTCAAAGAGATTTCTCTCACAGCTTTCATAGGATTTGGGTTTAGCATCAGAGAATCAAAGCTTCGAACGCTACACCCCTCTTAATAGTATGGTGGTCCTATGACTCGGTTAAAGAAGAAGAAGAACAAAATAAATGCTACGTCTTCATCTCGTCTTCATTCTTCCTCGAACGCAGTCATATGCTTAGAACAGACACCAAACCAATTGCTTGAGCTTCAACAATTTTTAGGGGTCACTCTTGTTAGCTTCATCTTCGGTGATAACCTTCGCTGCACAGCAGGGAGATTATCTTCGTCGTTTGCATCAAACTCCTCGATACTTCAGGGACCTGTTACTCTGTGTGCACTAGCAAACACATAAGCCCCATACTGTTTATGTTAACAAACTCCAAAATACAAGGGGCCTATCATTGCACCAACACAAGCCTCCCACTTATGATTACCCCCTTTCGCGAGCATCCGTAACTACAAAAAAAGACTTAAGATAAATCTAACCATAGCATGAAACATATGGATCCAAATCACCCCCTTACGGAATAACACATAAACTAGGGTTTAAGCTTTTGTCACTCTAGCAACCCACATGTACCAATCTAAGCTTTTGAGACAAAGATTGAGTACAAGAGACGAACTAGGGTTTGAGAGAAGATGGTACTGGTGAAGATGTTGATGATGATTGGTCCTCCTATGATGAGAGGATCGTTGGTGACGTCGATGGTTCGATTTCTCCCTTTCGGAGGGAAGTTTCCTTGGCGGAATCGCTCCGCCGGAGAGCAAAAGTGCTCCTGCCCAGATTCCGCCTCGAGACGGCGGCGCTTCATCCCAAAAGTCTTATTTTTTTCTAGGGCAAATGGCTTCATGTAGCAGAAGATGGGCACCAGAGGCCTGCCAGGGGGCCCACAAGCTCGGCTAGCGCGCTTGTCGCCATGACCCGGGGGGGGTCTTTTCTGGCAATCCGTTGGGCAGATGATCCTTTTGGACAAAAACTCTAAATTTTCAGGTGATTTGGAGTTGTGCAGAATAACTATCTCTGTTGTAGCTCTTTTCGGTCCAGAATTCCAGCTGCCGGCAATCTCCCTTTTCTGTAAAACTTGCAAAATAAAAGAGAAAATGCATAAGAATTGTATCATAAATCGAAATAATGACCCAAAGCATAATAAATAACAGTAGGAAAACATGATGCAAATGGACGTATCAATACTATAGCAGTGCCCGAATGCAACAACTAACAAATGGTCATCTAGATCTTTACAAGACGGACAATGGCGGAACAGTAGGACACCTTGTAGTGGGCCCAAATGCCAATGAATACGTGAGCAGGCTTGTGATAACACCATTGCTTTTGAAACTCAAGAGATCGTGGTTACCCCTTGTAAACCCTAGCCGCTAGCATCCATTGTCTCTTGTTTGCCTCACCTTTGATGGTCGTACATTTTCTAGGTTAATACGTTGCCGGCGAGGCGACACCATACGGTGTGATCATCATGTACTATTCTACAGCCAATGGTTCTTAGGGTATGTCTGAGACTTGTTGCCTTTCACGATCTTAGATTCAAATCTAGTAGATGGACCGCTCATGTTGATTTTTATCATTTTATGCATTTTTGTTCTTCTACAATTTTACGACTGGTGATATGTAACATCAAGATGCTAACGACAACTCTACGGATGTTGAAATCGAAGGATGGTAAAGATTATGGTTTCGCCGAGCATCTTTGTTGTTGGTGTTCTTTAATTGTGATCTAGTATTTTACTTTTTTCAATAAATTACTAAAGTCATATTGTTGTTCTTACAAATAATACTTGATGATATACTTTTGAATAGGTGAAAGCACAGACTAGTAGTGCACAACTGATCATGCAGCAAAAAAGTATGGGATAAAGATATTCAACTATTAAGATGAAAAAGAATGCTTAATGCGTAGACTATCAAATTGTGACAAAGGTTAGAGGAAAAGCCAAGCGTGGAGCAGCAGGTGATAAATTGACTAAATAGGACACACTAGAAAAGGGGCAAATGATTGAAATTGTTGTCTATGGACATCCTTTTTCCTGTCGATTAAAGAACAGGTACGCATATACCCGTGATTCTTTAGTCCAAAAGGGCAACGCCAGCTCCATTATCATCGAGTGATGGCGATGTAGGGGCCAAATATAATGCTGGGTTTAGATAGGCTCCTAACCAAACCCGGCCCCGGATTTGTTATGTCGCCACGAGGTAACCTGTCCAGCTCAGAAGCATATGCATGCGCAGCCATTGACCTGCAGCACTTGCAACTCCAGCTCACAACTAGTGCAAAATTAATCGCCTCGCTTCGCCTGTTTCTCCAAGGCATTTCAAATTTCTAATACGGTTGGTTAACGTTGACTATACAAGGTTATCATATCATTGGTCCCCTGGTGAGATCGAGCTTGATTTATCGATGGGGATAAACCAAAAACGGTTCGCGGAATAAATGGATAATCCCTGTCCATTCCAGCGAGGCGGCAGCTAGATGAGATCGACACCGCATTATGAGTTATGACCCATTCGCGCGCATGCGATCGGATCAGGTGGTGATCGGATGCATGATAAGCATTATCAGTTCCCGGCCGGACAGAGAATACGTACTGGCTAGTTCTCCGACCGGAAGGGGGCCGGCAAATCAAGCGCCCGATCACGTCACATGCAACTGCGCCCCTTTCTCCGCTCGCCAACAAGAGCAGTATCATTTCCATTTACTCTTAATAGTACTGTACACAGAGCTTCATTTACCAGTTATAGGCTTGAAGTATCGGATGGGATCTGGATTTTTCTTTGGAACCGATCGATCGATCTGAGAAAAAGAGGGGCCGACGATCCCCGGGCATGCAATGCAACGTGGTGATGCATGTGAGAGGACAGCGTGTGCTACTAGCACGATCACTCATCATGAACAGGAGAGTAACATGAAAGAGAACAAAAAGTTGCAAGCAACGGTGAGGAAGCTCATGTGGGCGGATATGCATGGCATGGCAACACACACACATGTCTCACGCGGATTACAATAATGATAATCGAGGTTTAAGTAGAGGTCCTCCTAACCCGGCCGGCTAGTCCAGCGGAGCGGAGCAGGACGTACTACGCCGCTGTCTCGATCGACCACTGACCGGTCAATGGAGCTCGGGCATGGAGCGTGGAGGGTTCGAGAAGCCGGTCGAGGGCAGGAGGGTAATTCATGACGAGGCTGTCAGCCAATTATTAGCTCGCGTGGATGACGGGCATCAGGCGTGGCGCGCCCAGCGCGCAGCGGGGGTTGGTTCAGCGGGTGACGTGTCCCCGTCGTACGAGCCAGAGGGGCGACGGAGGTGATGGGCCGGACGCCGTTTTTGTCGCCGACGACGGCAGCAATCAATCGTGGGACCGACCGACGGCGCACGCAATTGTCTAGTGTAAGCTAAGGTGAATCATCACACCATCTCCACGGAAGAACGACGCCTCGCTACATTTCGAGGAGCTTCCGATCGATCGGATCCTTCTGTTTTTGTGCCAAGATTTCAAGACCGACATGGGCATCAACCGTGGCGTGCTGACTCATTCACCTCGGAGCAACTCGCCGAAAACGACGTGGCCGTGGCGGTGGAGCGAGAGCCAGAGCTAGAAGCAACGACGACGTACGCAACGCGCGGCCACCAAAAGTCTGCCCCGTCCAGGCGCGCACGGCCAATCAGCTCCCCGCCCGCGTTCGTTCACGGGATCAATCACGGTCGCCGTCACGGCCGTAGACCGCCGGCCAAAGGGTTCAGCGGCCAATCCCGGCGCCCCGGTTCGGCGCCGCCCGGAGGCGTCACGTCGCCCCGGCCTCCAAACCCACACGGGCCACGAGCCCTGCCCCCCTGACAGCTCCGTGGCCGGCGCGCCTGAGCTGGCAGCTTGCGCGCCCACCGCCCGGCCGGTTGCTGTCCCGATCCATCATCCATCCCACATTAGCTCTCCTCGCGCTCTCCGCACCGCATGCACTGTTCGCTGCACGGCCTCGTGTTACGTATGCTCGAAAGGAGCTCACTTTAATCAGCACAGTGGGTGTTCCATCGATCCCCGCACAGTTAACCTCACCAGGAAAAATGTCACGCAGAAAATCACCGATGATGGCGAGAGCTTGTCGACTTCTCCGTTTTTCACCTGCACAAAGTGTCTCGTTTTGCTCACTAGGGTCCCAAACAAACAAACATTTGGCACTTGCACCGCATGACACGATCACACGAGCCGTGCGAGGCACAAAGGAAAGAACCGGCCGAGTTTTTCCGTATGTTTTCTCCCCTCATTTCCGGAGAGACTATCTACTCCAGTAGCTATTTTATTCTACCAAGCCTTATCTCCGCCATGAATTTCATCACATCAATCAAACAAAAAAGAAAACATTATCTTCTCTTTCCCTCCCATCAATTTTCGAAGCCACCAGCACACACTTTCGGCATGCAGTTACAGCCAGCTGTTTCCCAAAAATCGCACCTGAGCCCGGCGTCCAGAAGCTTCAGGCGTAGCAAGCACGCGATCCCAATATGGCGTTTCCCCGGGGGCCTCACTCCACACCGTCCATTCGTCACTGGAACCGGCCACACCCGGTGGCCCGCGCCAGCCCGGCCCGGCGCGCCGTGTATATATACCGCCTCACTGTCCCGCTCCTTCCTCACCAACTCACCTCTCTCATCTCTCTCGACTCCGGCCAGTCTCTTCTTCTCTAGAAAGCTAGCGAGGCTTGGAGGTGAGCGAAAATGCCGGTCAGCAGGATCGCCGTGGGGAGCCACCGTGAGGTGTACGAGGTCGGCGCCCTCAAGGCGGCGCTCGCCGAGTTCATCTCCACGCTCATCTTCGTCTTCGCCGGCCAGGGCTCCGGCATGGCCTTCAGTGAGTTTCTTCTTCTTTCTTCTCGTCGATTAATTCTTTCCATCACCACTCGCTTGCTCGCATGCGGTAGCTTAATTAGGAGAAATTAACTTTGTTAATTGGTAATTTGCATCATCATAATAGGTAGCTAGTGCACGTACGACAAAGGGATTGAGAAAAACCGCCTGCTTTTGGTTTTGGAGACAAGTTAAGTGACAAGAAAGAAAGAAACACTTTATGAGGCGTTACCAGTAGCCTAGAGAAATCTGTCTCAGAAAGGAGTAGGGTTTGATTGCTACAGGCTTTTTAGGTTGAATGATTGGCGCAGAATGACCAGTCTGCCCTTGGGGTTACGTGGAGAATCCCATGTGGTGATGAACCAGTAGCTTCTGTTTCTATCGAGCCTGCCACCATGTGCTAGCTTCTGCCCACAAGTAGCAAAAATTGATCCATTTCCACATTTGCACCAGTGCGTATCTGACTGACTGTTTTCCTTGTTTGATTGTGCGTGCAGGCAAGCTGAGCCCCGACGGCGCGGCGACCCCCGCCGGCCTGATCTCGGCGGCGATAGCGCACGCCTTCGCCCTGTTCGTGGCGGTGTCCGTGGGCGCCAACATCTCCGGCGGGCACGTGAACCCGGCCGTGACCTTCGGCGCCTTCGTGGGCGGCAACATCACCCTCTTCCGCGGCCTGCTCTACTGGATCGCCCAGCTCCTGGGCTCCACCGCCGCCTGCTTCCTCCTCCGCTTCTCCACCGGCGGGCTCCCCACCGGCACCTTCGGGCTGACCGGCATCGGCGCGTGGGAGGCGGTGGTGCTGGAGATCGTCATGACCTTCGGGCTGGTGTACACGGTGTACGCCACCGCCGTGGACCCCAAGAAGGGCAGCCTGGGCACCATCGCGCCCATCGCCATCGGCTTCATCGTGGGCGCCAACATCCTGGTCGGCGGCGCCTTCTCCGGCGCGTCCATGAACCCCGCCGTCTCCTTCGGCCCCGCCCTCGTCAGCTGGGAGTGGGGGTACCAGTGGGTGTACTGGGTCGGCCCCCTCATCGGCGGCGGCCTCGCCGGCGTCATCTACGAGCTGCTCTTCATCTCCCGCACCCACGAGCAGCTCCCCACCACCGACTACTAAGCAGCGAGCTTAGGATCGGAGTCGCCGTCCATCCGTCCGTGTGATGCTTCGTCTCCCCCTTCCTTCCCGTCATCAGTCGTTTTAGTTTCTCGCGCGGTCGCCGCATGCCATGATGCATGTATGCGGAGCTCGCCTCGTTTGCTTTGAATCAATCAGTCCTGGGATCCGTCGATCGGTCGGTCAGTCGAGTCAGTTTGTGGTGCGTGCGTGGAGCTGTAAAAGCGTGGATGATCTCGATCTGGGATGACCGACCCAGTCAATTTGCTTCTGTAAAACTGTGAATTCGCCCGCCCGAGTAATTTCAAGTTCAGTTGAGTTGGAATGGATCGACCGTGCCTTGTGAAATGTGAATTTGCCAATTTGGTTGCAGGAACTTGAATTCTGGAATTAATCCGGCCGTATGTGAGACTGTCAGTGAGGTCCACTACTGTTTAGTTTGTCTGAAGCTGTTGCTCCTCGAATCGCCATGGTTCTAGCTAGCACTGCGGGGGCACGAGCGTGCGGGTCAGTGTCAATAATGGAGTGGCATGGCATGGCAGGGCAAGGGCAAGCATGTGGCGACGAGGGAGACGGTACGACGCCACGTCGGAGTGGTGATAAGGCTGAGCTGTTGTTGTCGGCTGGACCGGCCGGCCGGGTCGATCTACCCTACCCTAACCCGGCCTATCAGGTCGTGCTCGCGCGGCGGAGTGCCCGTGCCGGGTACCATACACGCATGCGGCCATGCATCAGGCCATCCCGGCCCTTCTACTAATCATGCGCATTACGTGGGGTTGTTGGCACATTTACCGTCATGTCCCATGGATCCGACTGTAGGCCCTCTGTAGGCCC